GAAATAAACTCAGCCAGTGATAATCCATTAGTTGATACCGACCAACAAACATATTTTCATTCAGGAAACTTTTTAGGACAATATATTGCCCATTCAATGGACCAAGTAAGACATGGTTTGGGTCTGATAGCAAAACATATTGATACGCAAATCGCGTTAGTAGTAACACCAGAATTTAATAATAATCTACCACCATCATTAGTTGAAGATCCTAAAAATGGTAATCAAACTGGACTCAAAGGGTTACAAATTTGTGCTAATTCTATAATGCCTATCTTACTTCATCAAGGGAATTATATAACACATTTATATCCAACACATGCCGAACAATATAATCAGAATATAAATAGTCAAAGTTTTGCATCAGCAAATCTTACTTGGAATTCTATTGAAATAATGAAACATTATTTGGCAGTTTCTTTAATATTTGCAGTTCAATCAATTGAATTAAGAACGTTTGCCGAATTTCAAAATTATAATACACAAGCTTATTTATCACCTAAATTAATTCCACTTTATAAAACTATATATGACATACTTGGCTGTGAAGTTTCAGAACAAAAACCTTTGATTCGTTACATTTATGAACAACCTTTAGATTCTTATATTCATAAACTTGTAGATGATTTAAATGATCCTAACGGATCTATCTTAAAAAGTTTATGGTTTGACAAAGTTTAAATTTTATATTGTACTGTATAAGTAGATAGTATAAATAGGATACTGTATATGTGAGTTATATAAGTAGGATACTGTATAAGTGGGTTATATAAGTAGCGTGCTAAATAAGTAGGTTTTATAAGTAGGTTTAGTAGTTTTATATCGGTGCATTCAAACATCAAATTTATCATCTGTAGTAGAGTACAGAATCACGGATCGCGCATCAAGTTAAAATTTGCGTCAGATCAAGATTTAAATGTGGAACTTTATTATGGTTAGGGTGGGTGCATATGTGAGGTATTAGCGAAAATAAATGATTTTAATCTGACGCAGATTTTAATTTGACACACAACAAAAATAATAAAAAATACTTTGACATTAATCGATGTTTCTCTTGAAAAAGCATATTTTTTTAAAAAGTTCTGTGATAATTCTGGACCGGTTCTTTCATATTCTTTACCGTTTAATGCTTTGATTTTACATATTACTAAGTTATTGTCAGTAAAGTTTTTACACCAAGCTACTTCTTCAGAAGCTTCATGAATCTCATTACTAAGATACGTCAGAATCAGATTACTTCGTCTCTTGCTAGAGACTTACATTTTTTAATGAAAGCATTAATGATAACTATAATAGATAAGAAATAATTTATTATAATTACCTTGTTATAACGGACACTGTTATAGTGAATACCTTGGTTATAACGAAGTAAAATTTTTATTATTATACTATATAACGCTATATCGGATATTCATTATAATGATTTCTCTACGTTATAATTGGAATAGACTGTATTTAGACGTAGTCACTAATTAAAGCGGATGATCCGAATAATCAAAGTTTATCCATGTATAATTACTTCTTAGATGGTTTATGTAATATCCGTATAGGAACGGATAATTATCTGGATAGTTATGATCGCTCCTCTGAACAGCACGACATGTCTTATTTAAATAAGGTTAGAAATAATATATAAGCATGCCTAATGAAAAATCTTAATACGTATAATAGCCCTTATGGATGGATACTTGTATAATTAGTAAAATTCAAATTGATCACTATAGATAAATTGATTTCATCTCTAGTTAGTAGGGATGGGGAAATTTGGTTTGGTTTGGTTTAATATAAATTCTAATTTATGCAGATAATGCATCAATCAAATTTGAATTAAACCAAATCGAACCAAACCAAATCTCCCCATCCCTACTAGTTAGTGATAATAAATGGTTTTAATCGTTAAATTAACGGATATTATAAATTTAATTATTATAGATTAAATGAGGAATTATGTTGTCTTCATTGCAATTGGTTTTTTTATAATTAGGATTCCTCGGTGCAAGTAATTACGCATTAGCATGAATATATATTGACGAGTACTCTTTATACTCATGAATTTGAATAACCTACTTCAAACGGCTAGATTAATAAATAATTTTGTAATTACAAATCCAAAGTATAATAAAAACACACAATTAGATTAATAGTTAAAATGAGATTAAAGAAATTCGAATAGCTTAATTTAATACTTACTAAATTAATACGTACGCCATGAACTTGAATATATATGGCTTGGTGCTGATAAAAGGCCCAAATTAACAAAAAGAAAGTTTGGGAATTTACACATAAAGACCCAAAAAATGAAAATAATTACCCAAAATAAAAATTCTCGGCGACCCAAAATCAAAAATTATTACAAATAAGGGCCTGCCTGATCTCCGAGCCATACTAGGCGCTAGGCAAAAATGGTAGCCGGATTAAAATAATTATCAGTAACACGATATGTCACAGGGTAAATTTTTGTATATATAAAACTATAGCAAAAACATATAGAATTACATATAAACTTTGTTGTGATAATGTTTCTTCGTTTACATATTAACTTTAAATTAAATTTTACAAATAAATACATCAAGAAAAGGAGAAAAAATTACATTTTAGACCAAATAAAA